CCCACTATACCCATTTATATAACTTTATTGTCAAAATGTGAATAGCCTTTAACCGTAATATAACGATATAGTTTTAAGAACAGATGTAGCTAATAAGTAAGCTAAGATTTTCTGATATCGCATCAAACTAAGTTAGGGTAACGGGCGTTCGATTCTGATTGGACGTATGTCGTTCAGTTCTTTTAAAGAATCTTAATTTTAATAAAATAGATTGTCCACAAACTTACGTTAATTTTTTCACCTATTAAAACAAAATATTCTTTTTTGAAATATTAGTATTTGTCCTTTTTTATTACGACACGTTCTAGGAACGATTTCTAAGTTACACTTATTGTTAATTTCAAATTTTGGCTCCATTTCAATAGTTTTAAGTCTCTAGCAATAAAATCATTTCCTCGCTGAAAGATGTTTAAAGGGAGAAAAACTGAGGTAAGAAATAAAGGAAAGACCAGTATATGAGCAACCAAATATATATATATATATTTGTGTGTGTGACTTAGTATAGAAATCTATTGGAAAAACTAATAATCAAAAAATCACCAAAAACGTTTCAGATATAAAAAATGCGTTGGAAACGATTGAAGAAGTTAGGTTAAAAGTGCAACGAACATCTACCAAAACGTTTTTCGAAAGTCAAAACTTGACATTTCATTGGCTGATAGTTAACACGACAATGTAATAAAAGTAAATACTTTTAGGCTTATTACACATTTAAAATAACGACTTATAAGCTTTATTTGTGTATAGTATACTTTATTGGGGAGGTTAGTTTGTCAAATGTGAGAGGGATTTCGTTTTTATAGAAGGCTACTCCTACCCGTAAATCTATTTCAAGTGATTCGTTGCAGAGATCGTAAAATTTAAGTATATGTTGTAGGTGCTGTTTATCTGTCGTGGAAAATGTTTAACATTTCTGTCGTTATTAGAAAATGTAGTGGAATTGTTTCAACAAATTAAAAATCGTTTAAATGTGTGTGTGTATATGTATATATGTGTGTGTGTGTGTGTGCACATGTCAGTAATTGATAATTTATTAATTGTTTAGTCAGACTTACAGAAACGTTATGAAGAAAACGTGATCTACTCTGTCTTGCTGAATGTGCGAGAATTCTGACTGTTGGTGTAGGATCTGGAAAATCCTTTATCTTCACCAGAATGAATAGATTGGGGAGTGAAAGTACCTGTTCCTTTTCGAGGGTATCTATCATCTGTAGCGAAGCCGATTGATGAAAGGGGCGTATTGATCGTTTTGTCTTCGGGTTGTAAAGATCTTCTATAATCGTAACGGTTATTATAGGGGTGAGAGTTTCCGTATCTTGGATCATAATATGGATCTCTTCCACTATAGAGGCTGTCATCATATCGAGAACCACCAGGATAATCTCTGTCATAATATGGGTCATCTCCATAGCCACGATCTCCATAAGGGTTGTTATATGGGTATCTTCTATAATATCGGTTGTTGTAACGATTAGCGTAGGGATCTCGATAACGAAGTCCATTGTTATAATGATCATCGTATCTATTGTTGTTGTAATAAGAGCGTTGTGGATTATACATGCTATCACGAACGTCGAATCTGTTATCGTAAGGATAGTCATCGTATTTGTTATAACCGTTGTCTGGTCGATACCTGTGATAATCATCGTATCTGTTATAACCATTATCTGGTCGATACCTGTGATAGTTATTGTATAAGTTATCATAACCATTATTTGGACGATACCTATTATAGGCATCGTATCTGTTATCATAACCGTAATCTGGCCGGTAGTTATGATAGTCATCGTATCTGTTATCATAATCGTTATCTGGTCGATACCTATCGATATTCCGGTTATCAAATTTATCGAGCGACGGGGAGCGGTTTCCGAAGTTGGTGTCTCGTTTACTCTCAGCATCGTTGGTTTTGTCCACAGCAAACACAATCTGGTTGCATAGTAACACAAGAACTAACACCTGTATAGACTGAGAAAAAACAGCAACATAAAAATGCTAATAATTCCGCTTTACAACACGATAAAAGCTCAGTTTTGTCCTTATTACAGAAACAGAAATAATCAATTATATATATAATTGCTAGTAATTAAAACTTGCTCTATTATCTCGCATAATTATTGGAATTCACTTATAAATTATTTATTAGCATATCTTAGTTGAACAGTCATTTCTTAGTAAAATGTCAGACGTACGTTAACGTGATGTCCTTTTCTACAGGTCTTACATGGTAGTTTTAAACTAGGGTTTAGTAAATATTTTGTATATGGCTAAATGCAGTGATTTTAACTTTTGAAAATAAATACATCAAACTTTCACGCTGCAAACGCTTTAGTACAATTTTGAAACACTGCATCTCAAAATTTTCAGTTTTATTGACAGATTACTTAGAATACGTGTATTTTGAAAATACAGAGTAACTTTACAAATGGTTCCAATATCTCTATATTTTCGTTTTGTTCTGTCTTATACTCTAAGAATAATTATTTTTGGTTGACATTAAATAAATTTTCCATTTAGATGATTAGGTTAAGTTCACATATTGTTTCAAGTTTGAAAAAATCTTCGGATGAGCGATAAACAACAATATTTAATATGGAAATTTGAAAAATGTTTGGATTAGCGATAAGCAACAATATTTAATAATTTGAAAGATGTTTGGATGAGCGATAAGCAACAATATTTAATAACTCATCCAAACATTTTTCGAATTATTAAATATTGTTGCTTATCGCTCATCCAAACATTTTTCAAATTATTAAATAGTGTTGCTTATCGCTCATCCAAACATCTTTCAAATTATTAAATATTGTTGCTTATCGCTAATCGAAACATTTTTAAAATTATTAAATATTGTTGCTTGTCGCTCATCCAAACGTTCTTCAAATCATTAAATATTGTTGCTTATCGCTTAATCAAACATTTTTCAAACGTTATATTGAAATAATTATTAAATTCTTATAAATTGATTTTGTAATTATAATTTTATTTTCTCCTTGAATAATAAGCAAAACATTCTTATGTTAAAGTTTGTCAGAAATTTTATGCGTAAAATAAATAACTCAAAGAGTCGAAATTGGGTTCCATATTGAATATTGCTTAACGCACTTTTTCAAATGACTGTAGAAGTGGAGACAAGAGTCTCCAGATAAAGAACTTGGATGATTCTCAAACGTACTTGTTAATTTACATTCACGTACAATACTGAATAGTGTTTTTACTAAATAATGCTAAAAACAATAAATACATTTAATGAAAAAAACAACAACAAAAAATTAAAATTTCTCACAGGCGAGGCAAATGTGACTACCGTAAAATTTTACCAAACGAAACATTTTCAGTTTTATAAGAAAGTAAAATAAGATCTCCAACAGAACTTCATATAACAGTTGATATTTTCGCGATAACATATAAAACTGTTATTACTACTTGTAATGGGGAAAAAAATCACAACTGGATTATTATCTAGTTTATATCATCATGCATAAAAAATTGAAATTTACAATTTTTCCGGATATTTATGAAATCGGTATACTTACAGAAAAACTCATTGTTCCGATGTATTCGAGAATATTTTTGGAGATATGGTGTTTTTCAGTCAAAAGACTTACTTAATTTCAAGAGAAATGATCGTTAGTTGAAGCAGGCTAGTTGTTTTATAACAGAATTTGTGTTACGTCCTGGGTGAGGCGGGTGCACCAGCCTACGTCACCAACAAGTATTAATATTATTCGGAAATGATTCTGAATTTACATTTCATAAGGACCTAGTACGTGGCCTTGGTAAATATACCTTCTCATGGCGTTTATTGCCCCTGTATCAACCACATGTCCGGTAGCCGCTGAGACCAATAACCTGAGTGAATTCTGTTGTTTACTGTATTAATTTTAACCTCTGAATCCGGTATGAAAGAAATACTTGGGCTGTGTGACAAGAAAATACCACTGCTCAATCAAAGCAACCTAAAATATTATGTGGTAAGCCTAATTTCTTCTCCGTTTGATGTTGTTGTTTTTCAATTTTTGGTCTTGAAAGGATTTTGCTTCGCAGTATATGTTTTTTTTTCTAGTAATACACACACACACATATATATATTATTAATAATATTTACAGCTCAGTAACTAGCAGTTTACTAAATTGAAATGATTGCTTTAACAGGCTCCTCATGAGCCAGTAGGAGACATTTTTGTTGAACAAAAAAACAACACCCAAGCCGGTTTTTTTTAATTTGAACTGAAATTTTATGGACATTTCTATTGGCTAAAAAGAAGAAATTTCCCTCACTCTTTTAGTGTTGGGTCTGCGAAAAATGATTTAAAGTGGACAAGCACAAGAAGCATGGAAGTCTCCAAATGACACGCAGTGGTATTGAGGAACCATTTAGCAAGCCGAGTACAATGTTATGCCTGTAGCTGCTTTCAAAGTGTTCCTGTCTGCTCATCCTACTGCTGACTATCGTGATGCTTCGTCTTTTCTACCGAATCTCAGGTGAAATTGTTTGTTTCTCAATTGAAAGTTAAACATAAAAAGGTGATAAAAGAAGAAGCATAAAAGGTTGGCAATTGCCTAATTAATGATGTTGAGAATGTGGCTTTATTGATGTGCACTGAATTTACTCCCAGCAGGTAGACCTTAGTAATAGCTAGTATGGAGACTTGAATTTCGCTTAAATATTTATTAAATAACAAATGAAAATTTGTCTCGAAAAGATACGTCCAAAACCAACACTTTGGGAAATTTCCGTATTAAACTTACTTTTAATATTCAAAAAATTGTAGTGTAAAGACACACCTTTTACATGTAAAGCCACTAGATTTTGAAAACTTACAAGACCAAACCAAACGCAACATTTATAATTAATGAATTAATTTCAACTTGATATACTCCATCGAACTTTAACAACCATTCTGTTAAAGATTTAATAAGGGGCATATCAATATATTTGAAACAATGTATATAAACATTGTGCAAAATGTTATGCAAAACTAGACTGTGTTGATTGGTAATTACAATACCAGCCTGTTTTCTTCTCGGTTAACTTTATATGTTATGTAGTCGATTTACAGTGCAAACACACTTAGAATGGTTACTACGGCACATCCGATAACAATACCGTAACAACGAATTGGAATTTGGAGTTTTAATTTTGTAATGAAAAAAGTAATAACGCATTTAAGAATATGTATTTGATTACCATTAGTGTGAAACTAGCGACACTACAGAGGGTTATTTGCATTTTGTGAGAAAACTGGGCGTATTTTATCCTTCTTTAGCATTTACTTGGGAAATATCGGACAGAACACTCCCCCTTTCTCGACATTATCACATACATACAAGACGACCATCTGACCACTGGTATACATTACAAAGAAACACACTCACATACGTACCTACATTTAGAATCTTCCCACCGGTACAGCAACAAAAAGTCTATACGTTACTCACAATTTCTACGACTACGCAAACTATGTAGTGATGATAACGACTATAAATCAAAATCCAAAGGTATGAAAACTTTTTTTCTTCTAAAGACACTACCCTGATTCTTTCATCCACGATGCAGCCACCAAAGCTAGTTCATATATCCAGGATCAAACACTCAACCCTACCAAGAAAAACCACACCAATCGTATTCCATTTGTGCTAACATACCACCAGACCAACAAGAAGATCAAGGATAATATATTAAACAATTACACAATACTACTGAAGACCCACCACTAAATTTCTTTTTAGGACCCACCCATTATTTCTTACAGACATGACAAAAACCTGAAATAAGCCCTGGTTCATAATAACGTTAAAAAAATAATAATACTATAGGCACTCACACATGTAAACGAAACAGGTGTGTCACCTGTCCACATATAAACAGCACCAAAAGTATAACCTAATATTGTTGTTAGTTTATGTACTGAAAGCATAAAATGAAATGTATAGACAACAAAATTGGACAAATATTTATTTATTTTTTAATTTAGAGTCTCCGTTGATTAAAGATGTTTCTTTTTTATTAAAAACGTTGGTGATATAACAGAAAGCAGCTTAATTCAGAACCGATTTAAGTTTAAAATTGATACGATATTTTTATTTTCATGATAAATTTTAGGCACTTTGCTCTAGACATTAGACAGTCCTTTACATGTATCACTGAATGTATCATTTACGGTATAATTTGCAAAATATGCAACAGTTTATACAATGGACAAACAACCGGCCGACTCTGTGATCGAGCACGAGATAATCTAAACCATATTAAGCTGCCGAACCAGGATACATCTATGGTCAAACATTTCACAATCAACAACCATACAGTTGAGGAGTTTTCGATTCTGGGAGTTATTAGAGCTCCAACAGGCATTTACAAAAGAGAACGACTGGAAAAGAGATTAATCTAAAATATGGGAACCCTACAACCATCTGGTTTAAATTAACGCTTTTCTCTCCTATATATTTTCATTTTTCTCTTTTATTTTTTTTGTTATCTGCATTATATTTTCCTGATTTGTGATATTTATGTGAAAGATGTAATTTTGCACAGATATATCACGCTCTACATTCCAATTACTACGCACGTAATTTCTTTGAATTCTTCGCATGCGCTTTTGTTGTAAGCTATACGATCTTACGAAGAGTGCTAGCCGGAAACGTCATCCTTCTTTAAATAAATATATAACAATAACTTGACGATTATTCAACCTATTCTTTTATTTCGATATATTTCTTGCCTATGTAGTTTTAACTATATATATATTTTATAAGATGGTTTATTTATCAATGACGGCTTTGCTCTGGATTGGGTTGTGGTGTGGTTTTGGAGCACGAGTTGTTCTAAACGTTCTTCTATGTAAGTTATTTCGCTTCCATGAAGAACTTTGGAGCATTTTTTTATTATCACAGCACATACTAAGCGTACAACACCTCTGCTTTAAAAGTTTCATAAATAAAATTGGAAAATTTTATCATGAAAATATCATTTGAAGCCAATATAATAATAGGATATTAAGGAGGCTATGTAATTAATGCAGGCAGTTTTCATCATCCATTTGTATGGGTTTTAATTAACACAAAATTATGTTTCTTGCACTGCAACCATAACAAATGATGAAGATATTTTTCTCTTCTGAAACTTAAATCTTTATTATAGAATTTTGCTATATAAGTATTGTTTCTGCAAATATCTGTCGTGTTTGCTCAATCCTACGTGTGCACTTACGTTTTCTCTTGATCTTTAAATTTCTAGACCCACATGTAAGCGTTTCAAAAACGTTTTTAGAAACAATCTAAAGTACGTTAGGGCATGCACTGTAAAAGATGGAAATTTATCTCATATATATATGAAATAAGAAAATATATTACACTATTAGTAGGATAGGACCTGCACTGTAAAACATGGAAGTTTATCTCATGTATTTGAAAGTAGAAAAGATATTGCACCATTAGTAGCTTAGGACCTGCACTGTAAAATATGGAAGTTTATCTCATGTATTTGAAAGTAGAACAGATATTACACCATTAGTAGGATAGGGCCTGCACTGTAAAACATTGAAGTTTATCTCGTGTATTTGAAAATAGAACAGATATTACACCATTAGTAGATTAGGGCCTGCACTGTAAAACATTGAAGTTTATCTCGTGTATTTGAAAGTAGAACAGATATTACACCATTAGTAGGATAGGGCCTGCACTGTAAAACATTGAAGTTTATCTCGTGTATTTGAAAGTAGAACAGATATTACACCATTAGTAGGTTAGGGCCTGCACTGAAAAACATTGAAGTTTATCTCGTGTATTTGAAAGTAGAACAGATATTACACCATTAGTAGGATAGGGCCTGCACTGTAAAATATTGAAGTTTATCTCGTGTATTTGAAAGTAGAACAGATATTACACCATTAGTAGGATAGGGCCTGCACTGTAAAATATGGAAGTTTATCTCATGTATTTGAAAGTAGAACAGATATTACACCATTAGTGGGTTAGGACCTGCACTGTAAAATATGGAAGTTTATCTCATGTATTTGAAAATAGAACAGGAATTACTCAAGGTAGTGTTCTGTCTTCTTTACTGTTCATTTTATATGAAGGATTCACCAGAATTAGGGTTACCCGATAACACAGGCCTGCGAATTTAAACTTAATAAAAGTTGTTTTGGTTTTCATGACGGATTTCCCATAATTCAGCTACGCGGATTTCGAAAATAATATTCATTTTTTTTCTATCACGTAAGGCTTGTTTACAAATTATAAAGAAACAAATCTTACTTAGATCAAATTATTATTTCGTTCACCACAATGAACATTTTTATTATTGTTATGTTTGGGTTCTAGAACGATCGATAAGACTTTGACGTCGCGATTGGTCTAGAGAAATCTATAGCCAGTGGTTGTCAACATTTTAAGCATAACAAGATGTTATCCGATTTCAATTAAAATGATCCACTTATGTAAAAGTACATATGATGTTTTATGAACAATCTGTACGTGATGGAGAAAAATGAATATCATTTTCGAACTCAGCGTACAGGAATTACTGTAGAGCATATAAACATTTCAAGATAATAAA